GAAGCCAGCTCCCTCCTCCTCCCTCCCTTCTCCCGCTCCTCCCTGCTCCCCCCTTTGCCGCACACAGAAGCCCCTCCCCCTTCTACTCACCCCCAGCGTCCGCTGCCTGCTCCTGCTCCTCCATTATCTTCAACCCGCAACACAGAAGCCAGCTCAACCCCCCCTTCCTCCTGCTCCCTCCCCTCATCGCACCCCTCCTCACACAGAAGCCCCAGCTCACCCCCCCATCTCCTGCTGCTCCCTTCTTCACTCGCACCAGACAGCCCACCTCCCACCGCCCCCCCCCCACCTTCTCCCCAGCAACACAGAAGCCCAGCTTCACCCCCCCTGCTCTGTGCTCCATCCCCTTCTGCTCAACTCCTGATCCTCCCCTTCTCACCGCCCCCCATCCTCCCCCCATGCCTCCTCCCCTCTCCCGCAAACAGAAGCCGGGCGCACCCCCTAACCACCACCTCCTCACTGCTCCCCATTGTGGTTCTGGAAGTTGCGTATTTTGAAGGATTAGCTCTCCCGCCCCCCTCCTCCTGCTCCTCCCCTCGCCGCAACACAGAGCCCAGCTCACCCCCCCTCTCCTGCTCCCTCCCCTTCTCCCTCGCAACACAGAAGCCCAGCCTCAACCCGCCAGCCCCCTCTCCTGCTCCCACCCTCTCCGCAACCAGAAGCCCACTCAACCCCCTCCTCCTGCTCCCTCCCCCTTCTCTCCCGCAACACAGAAGCCCAGCTCACCCCCCCCTCCTCCTGCTCCCTCCCCCTTCTCCCCGCAACAAAGAAGCCCAGCTCAACCCCCCCCCTCCTCCTGCTCCCTCCCCCTTCTCCCGCAACACAGAAGCCCAGCTCAACCCCCCCCCCCCCTGCTCCCTCCCCTGCAACACAGAAGCCCAGCTCCCTCCTCCTGCTCCCTCCCCTTCTCCCGCAACACAGAAGCCCCAGCTCAACCCCCCCTCCTCCTGCTCCCTCCCCTTCTCCCGCAACACAGAAGCCCAGCTCAACCCCCCCCCCCCTCCTGCTCCCTCCCCTTCTCCCCAACACAGAAGCCCAGCTCACCCCCCCCCCTCCTCCTGCTCCTCCCCCTTCTCCCCGCAACACAGAAGCCCAGCTCACCCCCCCCCCTCCTCCTGCTCCCCCCTTCTCCCGCAACACAGAAGCCCAGCTCAACCCCCTCCTCCCTCCTCCTCCGCAAACACAGAAGCCCAGCTCCCCCCCCTCCTCCTGCTCCCTCCCCCTTCTCCGCAACACAGAAGCCCAGCTCAACCCCCCCCCCTCCTCCTGCTCCCTCCCCCTTCTCCCCGCAACACAGAAGCCCAGCTCAACCCCCCCCTCCTCCTGCTCCCTCCCCTTCTCCCGCAACACAGAAGCCCAGCTCACCCCCCCGCCCTCCTCCTGCTCCCTCCCCCTTCTCCGCAACACAGAAGCCTTCCCCCTGCTCCCTCCCCCTGCTCCCGCAAGAACCCAGCCCCCCCCCCCTCCTGCTCCCTCCCCCTTCTCCCGCAACACAGAAGCCTCAGCTAACCCCCCCCCCTCCTCCTCCCTCCCCTTCTCCCGCAACACAGAGCCCAGCTCAACCCCCCCCCCTCCTGCTCCTCCCCTTCTCCCGCTCCCCCCCCCCTCCTCCTGCTCCCTCCCCCTTCTCCCGCAACACAGAAGCCCAGCTCCCCCCCCCCTCCTCTGCTCCCTCCCTTCTCCCGCAACACAGAAGCCCAGCTCACCCCCCCCCCTCCTCCTGCTCCCTCCCCCTTCCTCCCGCAACACAGAAGCCCAGCTCAACCCCCCTCCCCTCCTGCTCCCTCCCCCTTCTCCCGCAACAACAGAAGCCCCAGCTCAACCCCCCCTCCTCCTGCTCCCCTCCCCCTTCTCCGCAACACAGAAGCCCAGCTCACCCCCCCCCCCTCCTCCCCTCCTCCCCCCTTCTCACCGCAACACAGAAGCCCAGCTCACCCCCCCCCCTCCTCCTGCTCCCTCCCCCTTCTCCCCGCAACACAGAAGCCCAGCTCAAACCCCCCCCCTCTCCTCCCCTTCCCCCTTCTCCCGCAACACAGAAGCCCACTCAACCCCCCCCCTCACTCCTGCTCCCTCCCCTTCTCCCGCAACACAGAAGCCCAGCTCACCCCCCCTCTCCTGCTCCCTCCCCCTACTCCCCGCAACACAGAAGCCCAGCTCAACCCCCCCCCCTCCCTCCTGCTCCCTCCCCCTTCTCCCGCAACACAGAAGCCCAGCTCACCCCCCCCCTCCTGCTCCCTCCCCCTTCTCCCGCAACACAGAAGCCCAGCTCACCCCCCCCCCATCCTCTGCTCCCCTCCCTTCTTCCCGCACAAGAGCAAGCCCAGCTCATCCCCCCCCCCTCCTCCTGCTCCCTCCCCCTTCTCCCGCAAACACAGAAAGCCCAGCTCTACCCCCCCCTCCTCGCTGCTCCCTCCCCTTCTCCCGCAGCACAGAAGCCCCAGCTCACGCCCCCCCCCATCCTCTCCCTCACCCTCCCCTTCTCCCGCAACACAGAAGCCCA